CCACTCTCCTCTCAGGATCTTTGGGATACACACACACACACACACACACACACACACACACTCAGTGTGAGTTTTAAGCCACCCGGTCCAGGACTCGAACCACAGTCAACTACATGGGAGTTCAGTGATGTAACCATTCTGCCATCTGCTTGTCCCAATCTGCATTGCAGATTTGCATCTGCATTATAAAATTCTGATTTTGAAACTACTAATACCCTGGAATCATACAATGTTTAATGAGACATGTCCATTTAATTGTACTACCTGGAACTTAAAGAGACAGAGTTTGTGAGCATTTTGTTGACCAATGTCATTATTTATAGACTGATTTTTGGTGCTGATTAGGTCCATTGAGGCTAAAAATATTGGGTCACCAGAAAAGTCATAACGTATTTTTCTGGTTTTTTTTTTTTTTTTTAATGCAAAAATGCATCGTGACTTGGGGAACCAACCAACACTTAGCATAATGGCTATGTCGCTGGACTCCCACGTAGTCGACCACGGTTCACGTCCCGGACCCAGTGGCTTAAAACTCATGCCGGGTGTGTGTGCGTGCGTGCCCAAGATCCCGAGGGGAGAATGGAGGAGAAGGGATTGCGGTGTGACCATCCCCCCTGGGGGGTGATTTCTCGCTTTCTGTCTCTATGTCTCTCTCTGTCTGTCTGGCGAGCGCACGCGCCCTATAGTGAAAAACCTCTCCAAAAAAAATAAAAAAATGCATCGTGACTTTTCCGCCGACCCAGTATTAGAAAATGAGCTATGTGTAGCAAAACAAAAGAATTTCTTTTATTATTTAGCTGATTACATTGCAGTTGAGGAACAAAGTAACTTGCAGGTATTTATAAAGAGTCGCTTTGGTCACCGTCTTTGTGTTTAAATCATGCTGCAGAGGACGCTGTGTATCTGGATGATGAGAAAGAAAGAGAAGAGTATGTCCTGAATGACATCGGTGTCATTTTTTACGGAGACGCCAATGACATCAAGACTAGAAGCTGGAGCTATGGTCAGGTGAGCCATTTAAAATTTGTCACTGTCAAGGACATTTTTACTTAATATTTTTGTCACTGGAATCACTGCCGGGTGCCACATATAGATTGGAGACAAGCACAATTTCCTGCTTTCCAGGATCTGAGACTCCAGGACAGCGAGCATAAGAGTAGAGCTTTATGAAGACAACTGCATAATTTATCAGCTGAAACCACGCGTCTTCAGTTATTGCAATGTTACCGACATCAGAAGTTCTAAGGAGAATGTGCCATTCTTTTGAGAAATGCTTTGGCACCTTAGTACCGTGAGATCTCATTAGCTGGACCTGGAATGGACTGAAGTTTCCCTTTTTTTTTATAAAGAGATGTATTGTGATAATGATGCAAAAAATGTTAAAACGTGTGTGCCCAACTCAAAAAAAATTAACTTTTTAAAGGAAAGTGTTAGCCTAGGATACAACAAACTCAAAAATAGTGTTATCCAAACAGTGGGTGGCTCCACAGTAACAATGCTCTACCATGCTGGACTCCAATGGGACAGTCGTGAGTTCAAGACCCGAGGTCTTCCCACACATGATGTTGGCTGGCTAAGGCTGGGGGCGGATCACAGCATGAAGATTCTGTTGGGGGTCTCTCTATCTTAAAATACATCTTTAAGATAGAAACAAAAGTGTTTTACCATTTTGTCAAAGGAGGGCCCACTGAGCTTTGACATAGAAATGTTTCATCAGCTACAACCCCAAGCTACCATGTAAATATAAAGTCTCAAAGGGTATTGTTTTTACAGATATTCAGTAATTCAAACTATTTTAGTTTTTTTTTTTGATTGTTTTAGTATTTTGCCATAGGGCCCATGTGCTCTCCAGGGAGAAAAAGAGAAAGAGAAGGGACAGGAGAAAGTGGGAAACAACCTCCTAGGGGGATGACCACAAAGCAATCCCTTCTCCTCCATTCTTCTCTTGGGATTTTTGGGCACACATGTACATACACCCAGCCTCCAGGTCTGGGACTTGAACCACACTCATCTCCATGTGGGAATTCAACACTTCAACCATCATGCCATCTGCTGGTCCCTTTAGTTTGATATTTTTAACAATGAAGCCAATGAATGATATTTTACCATGTTTCCATAAATGAATGCATGTCCTATTATTCAAAAACAAGTTTTAAATTAGGAACAGGAGAGCAAGTCAATGTCTCCTTTCTCAGAGTGTTGGCTAGGATGGCTGGAATTGTCCATTGTTGTTCTGGATCTCCAGCAGGGAGACTTCACAGAATTGGGCCCCCCAGGTCACGTGGTATTTTTTTGTCTCTCGATGCCTCACTTGACTTCCTGGGATCTCCCTGTGTCCCTCGCCCACTGCACCAGCCTGACCATTGCTACCCATATCATCACGCAATCTTACCTTACCTACTCAGCATCATGACAAGCTCCTTCTCCCTGCCTCCGGAGAACCATGGGTCCTATACTCAGGCTTGGCCCCTGCCTTTCTGAAGTCCCACAAATGCATGATTTCTTTTTTTTTTTTTTTTATTTTTAGAGAAGTTTTTGCTATAGGGTGTGTTCACTTGCCAGAAAGACAGAGAGAGACAGAGAGACAGAAAGCGAGAAATCACCTCACAAGGGAGCAAGGCCAAGCCGCAATCCTTTCTCCTCCATTCTCCTCTTGGGATCTTGGGCACGCACACACACATGTGCCCAGTGTGAGTTTAAGCCACTGAGCCTGAGACTCGAACCACAGTCGACTACATGGGAGTCCAGCAACATAGCCATTATGCCAACTGCTAGTCCCATGAACCTATGATTTCTATGTGCTTACCTTGCTTTTGAATTCTCGTCTGCTTCCTGCCTACAAGTCCTCCCCTTTCTTGGTGACATGCAGTCTCTGATTACAATCTACCTGGAGCTTTTGTCTTGCGTCCTTCAGGTGTGATTCTATTTATGACCCCCGATACAATAATATATAAATAGCCAATAAGGAAAAAAGTTATCAAGGAAGGTGGGAAGAACATTGGAAGGCTGTCCCCAGTACAGCTGGTATGCCTTTAAGTAGGCAGCTGTGAATACAACCACTGTCTATCTGCTGCATTCAGAGAAGACATCAGTTTGGGTCCCTGGACCAAAATAACCAGCTAAGCCGCTGTCTGCAGTGATGCAAAGAAATGAGTTCTTTAAGTACTTCTTTAACCCTCCGGTTAGTTGATAGCATGTCCTACAAACACAACTAAGAGGTGTTGCTTACTAAGAACCAGAATAATTAGCTATTGATATACTTGAAGAATTAGTAGAGTTACTCATTACTGTCTCCATCCCACCAGTTTGAGGTGAATCCAGAATTAGTATTCTAACTGGATTTAATAAAGAATTACATGGTATGTAGCCGTTAAGACTGTGGTTTCTGTCATAAGTACTTAGATGTGTAAGATGAAGGTTTCTGTATTTGAGGCAATTTCCTCTTCCAGGGAGATACAAGACCAGCGCAATCACCCCATCTTGACATTTCATTATTACTTGGTCTTTATTCCTTTTCAAGAAAATTCTGGTATTGCCTGTAGGTAGCAGTTCTTCCTAAGGAAATTGAACTGGCTCCCAGGTTCTTTCCCTGAAAATGTAATCTGCTTTCTCTAGAAGCCTTTTTGCCCTCTCCTTGATCCTAGGGCCCACCTTGTCACAGAAGAAGGAACATTTGTTCCATGTGGTCTCCTACTATTTTGGGTACAAGATAAATAGGCCTAAAGTAGCGTCCCATGATAACTGTGAGCACTTACCTCTGTTTTCAAAATGCACAAGGGCTCATGGATTTTCAAAGTCTTGAGACTCTGGGCTGACTTTGGTAAATTGTGCATCCTTCATCTTGGGTACTGGAGCCTAAAAGTTGGAAAGACCTTCTAAATTAATTTGTATTATTTTTTGAAGAACTTCAATCTAGTTCATGATCCCCGAAGAAACCACTCCCTGAGTAGTTTTGCTTATATCTCTGGCCTGTTTTTTTTTTTTTTTTTTGAGAGGTTTCCACTATAAGGCGCATGCGTGCGCCAGATAGAGAGAGACAGAGAGATGGAAAGCGAGAAATCACCCCCCAGGGGGTGTGGCCATGCCGCAATCCCTTCTCTTCTGTTCTCCTCTTGGGATCTTGGGCACGCACGCACACGCACCCGGCATGAGTTTTAAGCCACCGGGTCCGGGATGCGAACTGCAGTCGACTGCGTGGGAGTCCAGCAACATAGCCATTATGCTAACTGCTGGTCCCAAGGATGTCTACTTTCTTCCATTTTTGTATTTCATTTTACAGTTGATGGGTGATTACTATATAGAAATACACTTTTCTAAACATGATGTTGCATTTTCATTTCGTTTTTTCTTAATCAGAGAGTATCTTGTTTGCGGTGTGGACACTAAGTCATGTCTCGATTTTTTTGCCAAATAGTTTGAGGATGGTATCCTCGATGCTTGCCTGTTTGTGATGGACAAGGCTCAGATGGACCTTTCCGGCAGAGGGAATCCCATCAAAGTCAGTCGCGTTGGGTCTGCAATGGTAAGTAACAGCTATTGATTACTAAAATCTATTTCATATGTCATTTTCCTACATATCAATGCCAGTTCATTAAGAGCCATTGCAATGATGACTTACACACAGTCAACTTTTAGATGTAAGATTCTAGCTTGTGGTACTTAGTAGAACTCTTGGAACTCCCTGAGTTTTGTCTTCTGTTATAACACAACATTCTTATCTAAGTACGGTGTGTTTCTTTGGGTTTAGACAAATGGTGATAGATATATTATAGGCCAAATATTTTCAAGAATATCTTGCCTAGGGGACTATGGAGTAGCCATGACAGAAATGTCAACCATCATCCAAACAATCAATGAAATATTAAGGAACTAGAAGATGTATGAGACATAGCTTTTCTCCTTTTTAAAACTGGTAGTAGGAGTAAAGGAATAGGTGTCTCCAATCCTGGCTTCTATTACCAAAAGGATCTATTGCTTTGGAAGTGGGTATTGATGCTTCGCAGTGATCCTGTGACGTATGTAGGGTGGGCATCACTCATGCCATTTCATAAATTAGGAAACAGAATGACAACAGTTGGTCAATGACAAAGCTTCAACTAGAACCCAGGTCTGCTTTCTCCAAAGCAAGGCAATTTCTACTTTCCATGATGTTCTCTCTTGGAGATATTGAAATATTTTTGAAAATATAGATATTATGCAGTGGGGTAGATGGCTGAGAAAGGGATAGCACTGCCATGATTAAGAAGGTTCAGGTCAGGCATGGAAAGTGAATTACATTTAGGGACGCAACATAGGCATAATGGCTATGACGCTGGACTCCCACGTTGTTGACCGCGGTTTGAGTCCCGGACCCGGCGGCTTAAACTCACACCAGGTGCGCGTGCGTATGTGCCCAAGATCCCGAGAGGAGAATGGAGGAGAAGGGATTGTGGCGTGACCATTTCCCCCTGGGGGGTGATTTCTCGCTTTCTGTCTCTCTGTCTGTCTCTGTCTGTCTGGCTGGCGAGTGCACGTGCCCTACAGCAAAAACCTCTCCAAGAAAAAAAAAAAGTGAATTAAATTTAATGCCCAGGCCCTGCACATTCCTGGGTTATAAGGATATGTCCAGCACATAGAGACAGGTTTGGGTGCAGAAAATTGTATCAAATGTGCTTCAGAGACAGAATATTCCTGAATAAATGTTAATCTGGGTGGCATTTCATGTAAATAAAGATCATGGAAAAAATTCCTTCTGTTTATCTAGTTTCTTAAGTTTTCTGAAAATTTCTGTTTGGAAAAATGTTATCTTTGAGTTTGGTTTATATATTCTTTTGAGTAAAAAAAAAAAACCCAATATTGTTAATATAAAAATATTAGACTGAAGAAATGTAATTTCTGGATAGCTATTTTTATTTTTATTTTTTTCAAAGAAAGATTTTTCCTGTAGGGTTTGCATGCTCATCTTACCAAAGAGACAAAGAGAGACAGAAAGACAGAAATCAGGAAATCAACTCCTGGGGGGGGGATAGCCATGCCACAGTCCCTTCTCTTCCATTCTCCTCTTGGGATTTTGGGCACACACTCCCACTCACCAGGCATGAGTTTCAAGCCACCAGGTCTGAGACTCGAACTGTAGTTGACTATGTGGGAGTCCAGTGACTCCTTGGATAATTATTTTTAAATAAGAATTTTTGCTCTAAGTTCTAATTAATAAATAAATACACATTAGTCTTTTTAGGGTACACTATGGTTTTCCAAAATGTGTAGACCATGTGTAATGATGATATTTGGAAAAGAAACATATCAACCAGCCTCACCGTTGATCATTAGTTTATGTTACATTACATTCTATCGAAATCTGCTCTTCTGGTTATTTTAAAATAAGTCTTGAATTGCCAACAGCTACCTCTCCTCTGCTGTGCTATACTGTTGTATAACCCACTACACCTATTTATTTACAAGCTCTCTTGTACCTGTAAACAAAGTTATTTCCATCCTCCTTGACCTTCATCCTTTTTCCAGCTTTGGTATCCACAACCCCACTTTCTTCTTCTATACAATCAAAGCCTTTAGCTCCCTCTCATGAGTGAAGACATACAGTCTTTGTCTTCCAAAGCCTGGCTTATTTCACTTAGCATTATTTCCTCCATGTATATTCATTTTGCCTTAACTAACAGCTTTTCTTTTTTATAGCTGAATAGTGTGTGTGTGTGTTTCCTAGTTTTTTTTTATCCATTCATCGGTTGATGGGCACTTAAGTTACCTCAGCCAAAAAAAAAAAATTCTTTTATTAATAAGCTACCTGTGGAACGTAAAGAGTGAAGGTCAAAACTAATATCTAAAGGCTGTATTGTTTTCTGATGTTAGTTTCTGTTACATAATGAAAAAGACAATACATTCTAAAGAATTTGGTCATGTCTTTGTCATAACTATTTATAACAACACATATCAGGCCTGAAGTCAATCACTAGTTTTCCTGATTTATAGAAAAGCTTTTCCTTTTTCTTCTACCTGGAAGTTACGATAACAAGTGTACAGTGTGAAGAAAAGCAGTAACTAGCACTGGTTAAATATAAATTAATTCCTTTGTAAGCCTTCTGAAATGGCACGCTCATCAGTCGACGCTTACTCACACCTTGTGTGTATTTTTACTAATCCAGAAATCACTGCCTCACACAAGCAATGCAAAGAAGAAGCAAATATGAGTCAGCTAACCTAATAGCACTGTCTGGAGTGGCGCTTGGCCAAGTGGGAGCTGTTAAGTATTGAATTAAGCATGTAATCCTAATGCAAATGGCCTTGAAATTTTATTAATTACATAAATTCTATGAAGTCCTCATTTGAAAATGTACATTCCAGTGATGTGGTTTGGAACTACACAGAATCAATTTGGGAGTTTGGTTGGGTCTCATTTTTGGAGGCAAAGACCTTGGATGATGAGAAAAATCTCTCTTTTCATTACATCATTTACCTATACAAAAAGTTTGATAGTTTTTGAGACCAGCAGTTGATATAATAATGGTTCTGTCACTGGATTCCCACATAGTCAACCGCGGTTTGAGTCCCAGACCCAGTGGCTTAAACTCACACCAAGGGTGTGTGCATGCATGCCCAAGAGCCCGAGAGGAGAATGGAGAAGGGATTGTGGTGTGGCCATCCCCCCTGGGGGGTGATTTCTCGCTTTCTGTCTCTCTGTCTCTCTCTGTCTTTCTGACAAGTGCCCACGCCCTATAGCAAAAACCTCTCAAAAAAAAAAAAAAAGTTTGATAGTTTTTAAATCTTTCACTTCCATAATTTCCTTTAATACTTTGAATAAGTAGGTCTATGACTCTTAGAATCTACTGAGTTATAATAATTTTAGAAACTGCAACACTGAACCTCCAAAAATCAACAAATAGTTGATACACTTAAAAGCAATTATTTTCTGTTCATTCAAGTTGTTCCTTTTTTCTTCACCAGTCCTGAAAACCTGTCATAAAATTGTTTGAGCGCCGTTAAACAAGGATAAAGAAAAAAATACTCTTCAAGTTTCTCAATTAAAAATTTGCCTTGTAAAATAAGACTTTGGGACCCGCAGGTAGTGCTGAGATTAAGGTGCTGAATCCCACAAGGCTGACTCTATGGTTTAGGACCCAGTGGCTTGAAAACATGCTGGGTGTGTGTGCTTGCATTCCCAAAATCCCAAGAGGAGAAGAAGGAATTGCCGTGTGGCCATCCTCCCTGAGGGGTGATTTCTCACTTTCCCTCTCTCTCTTAAAAAAAGAGAGTGCATGTACCTTATAGCAAAAATAAAATAAATAAAATAAAATAAAATATAAAATAATAAGTAATAATAAGTAATAATAATAAACTAAGAAAACATATTTATGAAGCCCAGAGAGAAACTATTTTAAGGTTGGGAGAGTCTAGCTAGAGCCCTGACCCCCACTTGGAGGGGCCTGCTATGTTTCCTCAGGAGGCTGAGGACCAGACCTCAGATAGAGCAGAGACTGCTCCCAAACATGGAGGCTGAAAATTTCCTTCACGAAACATAAATGCTATAGACACACCTGACATGAAACGTGTCTAAAAGGGGTGATGCATTGACTTCAATTCATGAGAGTGAGGGAAAGGAGACTTTTTCTGGGAGCAGTTGCTGCTTGGAAAGTGTGGAGATGAGCTGCCTAGCCCTCCCTGGGTACCTGAAGAGTGGGTGGAGTCTAGTGTGGAGAAGATACAGGACTGAGACCCCAAGGACAAATTTGCTCTTTGCGTCCAGCCCGAAAGTTGACTAGGAGTTTGCAGGGCACGGGTAGGTGTAAGATGCTAAAAGAACACAGATAATAAATTGTGCAAACTTCCTAATACTAATACTAATAATATGAATCAGGAATTTACATGCACAATCCCTGGATAAAAAATGTATTACAGGGACCAGCAGTTAGCGTAATGGCTATGTTGTTGGACTCCCATGTAGTTGACTATGGTTCGTATCCAGACCCGATGGCTTAACACTCACGCTGGGCATGTGGGCATGCGTGCCCAAGATCCCGAGAGGAGAATGGAAGAGAAGGGATTGCAGCGTGGCCATCCAGGGGGTGATTTCTCACTTTCTGTCTCTATGTCTCTCTCTGTCTGGCGAGCGCACACACCCTATAGCAAAAACCCCTTTAAAAAAAAAAAAAGAAAGAAAAGAAAAAAAGAAAGAAAAGAAAAAAGTAAAAAACAAAAAAAAAGTATTATACATTATGAGGGTACTTCAAAAAGCTCATGGAAAAATAGAATTAAAGTATGAGTTTACCAGGGTGAATAAAAAATTTAAAATGCATATATAGTGTTTTCTCTTTTGTTTTTAAGAGAGGTGTTTGCTATAGGGGATGTGCGCTTGCCAGAGAGACAGAGAGAGACACAGACAGAAAATGAGAAATCACCCCCCAGGAGGATAACCACACTGCAATCCCTCCTCCTCCATTCTCCTCTTGGGATCTTGAGCATGCATGCACGCGCACCAGCGTGAGTTTCAAGTCACCGACCGGGTCTGGTACTCAAACCATGGGCAACTAC